GTATTCCATTGTGTGAATGTACCAAAGTTTGGTTATCCATTCCTCAGTTGTTGGACATCTAGGTTGTTTCCAAGTTTTGGCTATTGTAAATAGTGCTGCGGTGCCTAATCTACTTCTGTATACTTCCTTTCAAAGCTCAGGGCTCCAGGATTATCTTCTGTATCTCTGTCAGGTGATTTCTTTTTTCTATGTTGAAGCGGGTCTGTGTACCTTATCTGCCTATTCCACCATCTTACTGGAAGTTGGTACAGAGATAATTTTTATTTTTTATGTTTTCAAGTAGTAGAGACGGGAGAGTGATGACATCTGAGAACCAGGTCCAAGGAAAGACAAATGTTCTGAAACATAAAACAAAAATGGTAAGATATGGACATAGCCCTTATATATAATGCCTCCTGCCCCCCCTTTTTTTTTAAAAACATCTTTCTGAAATAAATAAATTTTGTAATACTGATTTGTCTCAAATGACTCTTCTAGGCTGATAAAGAAAATGCTCATAGACCTATATGGAGCAAAAATAATATAATGATGGAAAAATATTGTATTACTTTAAAACCAAATGAATTAACCAACTCATCTATAGCAATTGATACACATAATTGTGAGGGTAATAATCAACCTCTTCAGTTGTTACCAGTTAAAGATGATCCCCAAACTGGAAATATGCTACTTAACCAGACATTTCAACTTAAAAGAAATAGTAAAGAGAAGCTGATATCTACAGAAAAACCAAAGCAAGATGTGAAGATGCCCAGGAAACCTGTGCTTGGATTTTACCGTGGGAAAATTGTTGAATCTAAGATTAATTCGTTCAGGAAACCTCTGCAAGTCAAAGATGAAAGTTCTGCTGCAAATAAGAAACTTTCAACTACTCTCTCTAATGCCACCAAGCCTCAGCCTATCAGCACCAGCAGTATAACAGTGCAAAGTGATAGCACCTCAAATAGGACTATGACCACTAAAATTGTGAGCACTACATCTCAAAACAGACAACTTGTACGACCTCCTATTAGAAGCCACCATAATAACACCCATGAAATGGTGAAACAAGACATCAGTAGGACCTCTGCCAATGTTACAATTCGGAAAGGGCCTCGTAAAAAAGAATTATTTCAATTAAAAACAGACTTATCTAGTGTCAAAACCATTTCTTCTCAGGACATTAAAAAAAATAAGGCACCATCAAGAAGCATAGCATCTGAAATTGTAGCCAGGCCTGCTTCATGTTCCAATACCAAACTGATAGAAAAGTCAAAAACCATGGACCAGCGAAGACATACTATGGTAAAGGCAAATGTCAATAATACATCAGCTCAGCCCAAAGAAACTACAGAACAGAGAAAGTGAGTAGATACAATTTTTTTCTCATTCTGTTACCTTCCTTTTCAGTAGAGTAGTATTTGTGAATTTGGTTTGTAATTTCCTTGAATGTACTTGAATTTTCTTGTTCACTGTCTTCTGCACATGCAGGCAAGTTTTAAGTCAATGTAGATTGTGTTTGGGTATGTTTTAACAAGTTGGTTTTTTGTAATCTAAGTTATATAAGCTTAATAATAGTTGGGAACTATTTTATACGCTTTCTATTTTAAAACGTGTCCATGAGGGTCTTTGAGAATGTCATTGACTTTGAAATGTTCAGTGTTTCTTTTTCTTCAGATTTGTAAATTATGGATCTACTACTAGTGTGAAACTACTTAAAGACCTAAAATATTTTTTAGCCTTTTCTTTATTTGACAATGTTCTGTCATCAGTGTCACAGTAATGTTTTTCTGCCATTGATAACTGCAGAGCTCATCCAACTGAGTGGAAAGCTGGCAAAGAAAGGGTTCTGAAAAGGCCTCCTAGCTCAGTAGTTACCCAGCCTGAGCCTGAAGGACGAAGTGAAAAACCATTTGGGTCCTTCTGGACTACTATGGCAGAAGAAGATGAACAAAGATTATTTACTGAAAAAGTAAACAAGACATTTTCTGAATGCCTAAATCTGATTAATGAGGTATATTTTATTTATTTGTGTAGCATCTTATAGTTTGCAAATTACCTTTAAATGAAATTAAATTGTCTTGTTTATCTTCTAAGTTATGTCAGTATTATTTGGATGATTTAACATTGTAAGACTGTTCCTCATTTGCCTTTAACTGAAAGAGCTCGGTTGACACAGTGATTAAGCACTTTGCTACTAATGGAAGGGTCAGTGATTTGAACCTACCAGGTGCTCCAGGAAAGAAAGATGTGGCAGTCTGCTTCTGTAAAGATTATAGCCTTGGAAACCCTAGAACCAAAAACCAAACTCACTGAGGTTGAGTTGATTGTGACTCATAGCAACCCCTCCTTGAGTTTCTGAGGTGGTGTCACTACAGCAGTAGATTGCCCCATCTTCCCTCTAAGAAGCAGCTGGTGGGTTTGAACCACCAGCCTTCTGGTTAGCAGTCAGTTGTCTCAGGCACTGCGCCACCAGAACTTGCGTATTTAACTTTGATACTGCTGTTTTTAAATAATTCCTTCAAGCATGTTCATTAAGTATTTGTTCCCGTTATTATGAATTAACAAATGGAATCCCATAATATATTAAGAGGGTAAACATTAAAAGTAAAGTGCCAGTCATTTTTTAATAACATATATCTAAACTAGTATTTTATTTTCTGCTACCTAATACTGGTAGCGTAGTGAAATAGACAAAATTAAAGTGACATGGTTCAATGCTTTTTTTTTTTTTTTGCAGTGTTCCCTCCCCTCCCCTTCCACCCCTGGCAACCAACAAAGAAAGTTTCCCTCCATATATAAATCTTTCCTTGACCCTCTACAGTAACGAACTAATACTGTATTTGTCCTTTTGTGATTGACTTATGTCACTCAGCATAATGTCCTCCAGGTTCATCCATATTATGCAGTGTTTTGCAGACTCTATATTATTCTTTAGTGCTGCATAACATTCCATTATATGTATGTACCATAGTTTGGTCATCCACTCTTCCGCTGTAAATCTTAGAGATAAGTCCCTTGCCAGATATGTAATTATCGGCAAATATCAATTTGTTCCTTTCCTTTTTGTTATGTACTTTTTCGTGGTATCAATTTCTTTGTTCCATATAACTTTCTATGCTGAGCTTGTTTTGTTTATAAATCGTGTTATCACTTCCTTCATTGCTATTGTTTTAGTATTTGCTGAACATTTATGCTGGTCATCTTTTTTGATGTGAAGGTTTATAATTTTCTTTGAGGTTACCCTGTGATTTATAGTTTTCTTCCCAAGTTTAGAACAGTCTGTTCTATCTTGTAGATGTCGTGACTTCCCTACCATCTACAAGTTCTGTAACGACCATTTTTTCCCCTCTTTTTGGTTTGTAGTTGTCCTCATTTGTCAATTGATGTCTCTGGTTCCCTGTTTACAATCTTGTAGGCTTATTTACTTTGGATACTTCCATAGCAGGCTTGGTTTCTGGCTTATATCATCATGTGTGTTAATGGTCAATTGTTGTTGGCTGTTGTTGCTTCTCTGTCCAAAAGACTCCCTTTAGCATCTCTTGTAAGCTTGGTCTGGTTTTAACAAATTCCCTTAATCTCTGCTTCTCTCGGAATGTCCTAATTTCACCATCATATTTGAGGGACAGTTTTGCTGGGTGCATAATTCTTGGTTGGAAATTTTTTTCTTTCAGTGTTTTATATATACCATCCCATTGTCTTCTCACCTGAATGGTTTCTGTTGAGAAATCTGAGCTTAGTCTTATTGGTTGCCCTTTGTAGGTAACTTTTTGTTTTTCCCATGCTGCTCTCATGATTCTTTCTTTGTCTTTGGTTTTGGTAAGTTTGATGATGATATGTCCTGGTGATTTTCTTTTGAGGTCTATCCTGTTTGGGGTTCGGTGGACGTCCTGACTGGATATATTCACATCTTTCATCATACCAGGAAAATTGTCTTCCAACAAATCTTCAACCATTTTCTTAGTGGTTTTATTTTTCTCTTCCTGTTCTGGAATTCTGATTACACATAGGTTATTCCTTTTGATGGTATCCCTCATGAACTTTAGGCTTTCTTCATTTTGTTTTGATCTTTTTTCTGATTTATCTCTTTCCAAAGAAGTGTTCAGGTATTTGCCTTCAATCTACCTAATTCTGTCTTCCATTGATTCAATTCTGCTCCTTTGCGCATTCAATGTCTTATCTATTTCTAAAAATTTAGTATTAATCTTCTGGATTTCTATGTGTAGATTTTGTATCATTTTTAATTTTTCATTTATTTTGTCATTTTGTTCTCATACTGTCTTTTAAATTGTTCTAGGGTTTTCTCTCTGTTTTCCTTGATCTATCTCTCAATTTGTTGAAGATACCTAAATATAATTCTTTTGAATTCCAATTCAAAATCTGCATCTTCCAGTGTTGCATCTTGCTCAGGGATGTGTTTTGAGTCTGTGTCCTGGTCCCCTGTTTCTCCTGCTTTATCTTGCTTCTTTGTGTGCACTGTGATGCTCTGTTGTCTCCGAGGCATTGTGACGTTTTTGTGTTTATATTTAATTGGTGATTGTATGTTGAAGTGACTTGCCCACGATTTTTGTTTTCTTTGTTTTGTTTGTATGTTATCTATGCAAGCTAGGGTACTGTGCCCCTCTTATAGCTAGTTGACAGCACTTGTACACTCACCACCTGTCTCCTTTCCTGTTGTCAGCCTCTGGTATGTCCCTGCCGACCTTGGCAAACAGAGCCTATTCTTAGGTCCCTGGAATCCAAATGAGAATGCTATCACTTTAAAATCCAAAAAGGTTGCCACTTTTAAAGATTCAAAATGGCTGTGCCCTTGGTCACTTTAAATATCCAAAATGGCCACCGCTTGTAAACATTCTAAATGGCTGCACCCTCGGTCACTTTATCTAAAATGGCCTCCACTTGTAAACATTCAAAATGGCTGTGCCCTCGGTCACTTTATATATCCAAAATGGATGGCTGCCACGTGTAAACAATCAAAATGGCTGCACCCTCTGGACAGTGGAAAGTCAACAGCTCAGGTTGTCTCCCTCCTTTCTGTTACCCTACCTAGTCATAGGCCACCAGCTCAGTCGTCTCTGCACCTGTTGGTGACCAGGGTTGATCGTTAGGTCAATTGTCAGGTCCCAACACCACTTGGAAATATTCAGGCTGTTGGTCCTGTCAGAATAACCGACAGTCCACAGCTCCGACCGTCTCTGTATTTACTGTTTTCATTCAGGTTTTTCCACTAGTTGTTGGTGCCTAATCCACTTCTGCATAGTTCCTTCCAAAGCTCAGGGCTCCAGGATTATCTTCTATATCTTTGTCAATTGTTTTTCTTTTCTTTGTTGAAGAGGGTCTGTGTCGCTTGTCTGCCTATTCCTCCATCTTATCGGAAGTCTCGATAATAACAATTTTTTTAAAAAATTTTATTGTGATATAGGTGAAAGTTTACAGAGCATATTCATTTTCTATACAGCAGTTCATACACATTTTGTTTCATGACATTGACTGTAATTCCCCATTATGTAACAGCTCTCTTCCCACTTCCTCTCAGTAGTTTCCTCTTCCCTGTGTCCTTCTCTCCCATGCCCTCCAACCTCCCAAGCTGTCTTCCTGTGCAAACACTACCCTTCTGTTCTCCCAGGATTGATCACTCCAAGGAATGTATCTACCTAATATAAACGTTCACTGCATATGCCTGTCTATTGTTTGGCTGGAAGCCACAGGAGTGAGGTCAGTTCCAGACCTGAAGGGTAACTCGGGGCCATAGTCTCAGGGGTCTCACTAGGCTCTGTCATACCACCAAACCTGGTCTTTTTTTGTGGTTTTGAGTTTAATAACAAATATTTTTATAAATATTTTAATATCATTTTTTTGTTCCTGTCTTTATCATTGATTTTGATTATAGTGTTCTTAATCATTAATTGTTCATAATTTAAAGGGTAAAAATATCACACATTTTATGTCTTGCTCTTTTAGGGATGCCCAAAAGAAGAAATACTGGTCACATTGAATGACCTAATTAAAAATATCCCAGATGCTACAAAACTTGTTAAGTACTGGGTGTGCCTTGCACGTCTTGAACCAATCACAAGTCCTATTGAAAATATTATTGCCATCTATGAGAAGGCCATCCTGGCAGGGGCTCAGGTGAGGTAAAAACTTTCTCATCCTTAATACAAGGTAAATGGTTCAGAGTTGTTTTGGAACACATCACAATGTAATTTGGTAAAATTGTGGATATATATATAGTATAATGGAAAACTATTTTTCTGCCTCTAAAGCTTTTTTATACTAGGGATGGTCAGACATTAGAAAATGGATATAAGCTTAAATGTAAATTTAATAAAATTTACTCTGAGAAATGTTTCAGGGCAGTGTGTCATTCTGTGAATTTTCTAGTTGGGAAATCTGCTAAGAAATGCAATTTTCAATATTAAAATTGTGCTTATTGAATATAAAGCGAACACTATCAAGTGATGGCTTGTGCGAGAACTTTCCTTCACTTTAGGAGTATCCTTGAGCCCTGTACTCATATTAATGCATAGTATTTCCCTTCCTGCACACATATTATGAAAGTAACAGTGAATTGTTTTTTCTAACATTATTGCCATCACAGTTTGTTACCATAATCTCTCCCTTTTTCTTGCCTGTTGGTACAAAAACCCTTGGTATAGAATAAACTGTATCCTGAGATTTTTTTTGCCTGATTGATTTTTCTATTTTTGTTTTTGGGCAGATGTTCCTAAATTATGTTTCTTTTTATGAATACGTTTCTAAAGGATGTGCTCTTTCTTAGAAATTATTTGCATAGAGGTTTTTTTCCTTCCTTTTAGCCTTTTCTTAAGAAAAGTATTCACTCTAGTCTAACAAAGCCAACATATTATTTGACTTTTCATCTAAAGCAAAACTGAAATAGTTAGCATACATTTTCTCAGTGGCTAGCTGTTATATGTAAAATGCTATGCTGAAGGGTGGTTATATTTGACAAGATCCCACCTGGAAGTCAGTGTCAGATTCCTGGTATATTGCACACTATAGGGAAGATTATCAAGATAGTTTAGGGCAGCGTAGTTTGGTTGCTAAATTTGTGTAAAGGTTGCACATAAAAAGCAGTAATATAAAGAGAAAGTTGTGACACCAGCAGAAACTGGAAAACAAAGATTAACATTAGCAAAGAAAATTAAAAGCAGGATGAGTGAGAAGTTCAGGAGGAAGTTGGGAAACTAAGACTGTGAGCCAGAGTTGCCTTTTAATAACATATGTCTTGTATATGTTGCATTAGCAGGCATGGTAGCTTAGAGGAACACAGTAATGTTTATAATGTATGCATAGAATGGACACTTAATATAGTTTTGAATGAGTGTACTATGTTGGGCTGGTCATTTGTAAGCTATTCAGAGATGCATTTAAAAGCACTTGAAACAAATATATAATTACCAACCTAAATGTAGAGAAAAGAAGATATTAAACTTAATGTTAAATTAAGTTTAATATTAAAATTACTATTTATTAAGAATTGTAACTTAGAGAGCCCTGGTGGCACAGTGGGAACAAAATTAGACCTCCCTAAGCTGTAGTTTGTGCCCTGGTGGTGCAGTGGTTAAGTACTTGGCTGCTAACCAGAAAGTTAGTCAGTGGTTCAAACTCACCAGCACTCTGTGGGAGAATGCTTCCTTAAAGATTGTTGTTGTTGTTATTTGCCATCGAGTCGGCCCCGACTCATAGCGACCCCTCCTTGGGTTTCCGAGGCAGTATCACTACGGAAGTAGGATTGCCCAACCTTCCTTCCAAGGAGTGGCTGGTGGGTTTGAACCGCCAGCCTTCTGGTTACCAGTCAGGTGCCTTAGGCACTATGCTACCAGAGCTCCTTCCTTAAAGATTACAGCCTTGCAAACCCTGTGGAGCAGTTCTCTGTTCTGTAGGGTCACTATGATTCAGAATTGACTCGATGGTAGTAAGTGTGGTTTTTGGTTTTAAGAAAGGTAATTTACTACTTGTTCTTTTTATTTTGTCTGGATCTGGCAACAAAAATAGTTTAACTAAAATTATGGGGAAAAAATTTTAAACTTACAAAATTCTATCCCTTAAGTTCATTTTTATTCTATAAATTGGGACAGTTGTTCTGTAATTTTAATGGCAACAGTAAGTATTCTGAGAGGCATGGTTGAAGAACTACTGTCTTATTTTTTAAACATGATATCTTAATCACTATGATTTTAATATTTTCATCTTGGACAATCTAATTAATGTGTAAGAATATAAAACTTATGAGTTTGCTTTCTTCATTAAAAAAAAAATTAAGCCTATTGAAGAGATGCGACATGAGATTGCAGATATTCTAACAATGAAGAGTCAAGAAAAAGTTAATTTTGGTAAGTTAGTTTCTTTGATTTCTTTCAAGTGAATTGTGATTTTATTACATTTCTTTATTGAATTAGTTTTGTAAATATGTAGGTTGTTACTTTCCTCATATTTTTGTTGACTCACCTCATTGACCACTTTCGTTGATACAATAGATTTATGTAATTTTTATTGTGATTTGGGTGAAAGTTAGAAGAGCAAATTGATCTTCCATACAGTAATTCATACACATTTTCTTTCATGACATTGACTGCATTTCCCCACAATGAAATAGCTGTCTTCCCACTTCCTCCCTGTAGTTACCTCTCCCTGTGTCCTTCCTTCCTATGCATTCCTGCCCCATGAGCTCTTTCTCTGTGCAAATACTGCCCTTCTGTTCTCCCATGATTGATCATTTTAAGGAGTGTATCTACCTGATGTAAATATTCACCCTGTATGCCTATCTGTTGTTTGGCTGGAAGACACAAGAGTGAGTTCAGTTTCAGACCTGAAGGATAATTAGGGGTCATAGTCTTGGGGGTCTCTCCAGGTCCCATCAGACCAATAAATCTGGTCTTTCTTATGATTTAGTCACTACTCATCAAAGTGGGATGTAGAACAATGTTTTTGTGTAGTATGTTATGCCAGTTGAGCTTGATGTCCCCTGCGACCAAGGTCCCAAGCCTACAGGTCCAGCAGGGTGGTTGATTGTGCTTAAGAAGTTATAACTTTGCCTAAACATGGGGCAGTTGGATTTAAGGAAAGCTCATTCAAGATTCTCTTTACTGTGGCTAGTAGATAGATATGAGATTGTTGTTGTTGTTGTTATGTGCCATCGAGTCAAACCCGACTCATAGCGACCGCTCCTTGAGTTTCCGAGGCAATATCACTACTGAAGTAGATTGCCCCATTTTCCTTCCAAGAGTGGCTGGTAGATATGAGATTAGATTAGATTCATTAGTTGTCAGGCACATAAAATGTAAACATTTTCTAGAATCAGCTATAAAAGCAAAAAAAAAAAAACCTCATTGTCATTGAGTCAATTTTCACTGATAGAACCCTATAGGACAGAGTAGAACTGCCCCATAGGGTTTCCAAGGCTGTAAATCTTTATAGGAGCCGACTGCCACATTGTTCTTTTGGTGGAGCAGCTTAACCAGTGTGCCATCAGGGCTCCTTAGAATCAGATATAGGTTGTGCCAATTACTGTAACCTTTGGCAAGAGATTTAGCCCCTTTCTTTTTTTCTGTAAACTGGAGATAATGTCTTCTTCAATATTGTTGGGACCACTGAATTAAAGAATGTGTATAAAGCATGCATTACAATCTGTGGCTCATAGTAAGTTCACTAAACTTAAGGGCATTGTTAATAATAGTAATTAGGTAAGTAGGGGAAGAAATCACTACATATAAATATAACCTAATTTGTTTCCTTGTTAGAATTTTTTGTGATAATATGATTTATCACTCAATCAGCAAATATTTGATCAACTATTATATACTGAGGAGCCCTTGTAGTGAAGTGGTTAAATGCTTGCTGCTAAACGAGAGGTCAGCTGTTTGAACCCCCATTGGCTTCTCAGAATAAAAAAAAAAGAAAACTGCCATCCAAGTTGATGCTGACTCATAGTGACCCCCATTGTGTTTCTGAGGTGGTAAATCTTTATGGAAATAGAATGCCCCATCTTCCTTTCATGGAGTGGCTGGTGGGTTTGAACCGCCAGCCTTCTGGTTAGCAGTCAAATGACTTAGGCACTACACCACCAAAGCTCTTTAATTTTAACAGGAGTCAGTTTGAATTCTTTAAGGCTCTTTATTGATGCTACAAAATTTATTTCAGAGTATTACGAGTATTCCTTGTTTTTGTTAGTACACAAAATGAATTTAAAATATAGGGATCTAGGCCAAATGCTAAACATTAAATAAAATTCAAGATCATACTGAATTTCTAAATCAAATGTGTCATGTAAGTTTTTAGTTATGTTTAATACAAAAAAATTACAATGAGGTTAATATAGGCTAGTAGCTTATCTATGTGTGATGAGGTAATCCTTTTATTGTCAGTACATTAGCTAAACAGAGAATATTTCCATTTATGGTGGCTGTTAATAGACCCCAGGAGAACATGCATATGTTCTGATCTTACAAGTAATACTTAATGAAGGAGCTCTAGAAGCAATAATCAAAAGAGATAGTAGAAAACCAGAAAAGACTAGTTACCACAAACAAAAGGAAAAGGTTAAGAATAACCTGATCTTCTGTCTCAAGTGCTAAAGAGGAAAGTAGTAAATATATCTATCACTTTTGGAAGAGCCATCTTCCAAAAGTTATGTGATAGATATATTTACTACAATGGGGAAAAAGAGAGAGAGAGAGAGTAGCATTTGAGGCTACTTATATACATCTATACATCCACTGAAGGAATTGGCTGAAGGAATTATATACACTCAAGGAATTGATGAAAAACGGCTCCAGGAATTGATGATACCCATTGAGATGTTTCAAAAAACGGATACAGGGCTAGAGGCCAACTAACTGGAAGAAATTATATTTGTGCCCATTCCAAAGAAAGGTGATATAACAAAATGTGGAAATTATCAAACAGTATCATTAATATCACACACACAAAAATTATGCTGAAGATAATTTAAAAATGGTTGCAGCAGTGTATTGACAAGGAACTTCCAAAAATGCCAGCTGGATTCAGAAGAGAACATGTGATGAGGTGTATCATTGCTGATGTCAGATGGATCTTGGGTGAAAGCAAAGAATACCAAAAAGATGTTTATTTGTGTTTTATTGACTGTGTAAAGGTATTTGACTGTGTGGATCATAACAAATTATAGATAACATTGAGAAGAATGGAAATTCCAGAACACTTAATGGTGCTCATGAGCAATCTGTACATAGACCAGGAGGCTGTCATTCAAACAGAACAAGGAGATACCTCACGGTTTAAATCCAGGAAGGGAATGTGTTAGGGTTGTATCCTTTCACCATACTTATTCAATCTGTATGCTGAGCAGATAATCTGAGAAGCTAGACTGTATGAAGAGTGCAGCATCAAGATTAGAGGACGAACCATTAACAACCTGTAATGTGCAGAAGATACAACCTTGATTACTGATAGTGAAGTTGACTTGAAGCACTTACTGATGAAGATCAAAGACTACAGTCTTCAGTATGGATTACACCTTAACATAAAACAGAAATCCTCACAGCTGGACAAATAAACAACATAATGATATAAACAGAAAAGATTGAAGTTCTTGGGGATTTCATTTTACTTGAATCCTACACCTATGGAAGCAGCGTGACAATCAGTTGTCATACTGCACTGGGCAATTCTGCTGAAAATACCTTTTGAAAGTGTTGAAGAGCAAAAATGTCACTTTGAAGACTAAGGTGCACCTAACCCAAACCATGGTATTTTCAGTTGCCTCATAAGCATGTGAAAGCTGGACAGTGAATAAGGAAGAGTGAAGAAGAGTTGATGCTTTTGAGTTGTGGTATTGGCAAAGAATACTGAAAATACCACGGATTGCCAAAGGAATGAACAAATCTGTCCTGGAAGAAGTGCAGCCAGAATGCTCCTTGGAAGCAAGAATGGCCAGACTTTGTCTCACCTATTTTGGCCATATTGTCAGAAGGGACCATTCCCTACAGAAGGATATCTTGCTTGGTAAAGTAGAGGGTCAGTGAAGAAGAGGGTAATCTCAACGAGATTGGTTGACACAGTGGCTGCAGTGATGGGCTCAAGCACAGTGAGGATTGTGAGGATGGCACAGGACCAGGTGGTGTTTTGTTCTGTTGTATGTAGGGTCACTATGAGTCAGAGCTGACTCAACACCTAACAACAACAACAACACGTACAACCAAACACATTATGAAATTTGGTTCCTTATTTGGCAGCTTAGGGTCATGGTTTTATGGGACATCCCAGTTGTTTGGCCTAATAATGTATCTAGCACTTCTGCACTACCTCTTAGTCTTTTGTGTAAGGCCTGGGATGTTAAAAGTTTGCAGGCCACTATCTAAGGTACAACAATTGGTGTCTATTTGCCTAGAGTAACAGAGGAACAAGAAGAGTCAGGAATAGGAGGAGGATATGGAATGTGTGGCTAATAGCCTTCAGGGACAACTGCCTCCTTTGCCAGAAGACCAGAAGGCCAGGATGGTGCCAGCTACCATTACTGAACATTTTGATCTATGGAAGAATCCTGATCAAAAAAAGGGGGAAATTTAGAACAGAATTTCAAATTCTCATGGAATCCAGATATTCTGGAACTGTGGAGGCTGGATGAACCCCTGAAACTGTTGCCCTGAGATAATCTTTAAACCTTAAACCAAAAATATCCCCTGAAGTGTACTTGAATCCATACAATTACTGAGCTTAACTAGTAAAGAATGTTTACCAGAGCATTGTGCTCGTTTAATAACTGTCTACATGAGATCAAATTGACAACAGCAATTTGGAAAATTAGATAGGAAACCCAGAGAGTTTATATTAATGGGGGAAGAACAACTCAGAAAAGGAGGGTGAGAATGGTTGAACAAATCAAAAAAATGTAATCAGTGGCACTGAATTGTATGTGTAGAAATTGTTGAATTGGTGTATGTTCTGCTGTTTTTAACATTTTTAACAACAACAAAAATAAATTATTTTAAAAAAAGGAGAGCCATCTTCCTCATAATTTTCACTGGCTATAGAGATATGTGGAAAAATGAAACAGCATTTAAATTTTAGTCAGTCTTTCTATCTTATTATTCCTTAATAGAATAATACTAGTTAGTGGAATCTTTTCTGTGAGTTAGAATATTTGTTATTCTTTATATAGTAAAGAAAAGCTATTCATAAACTCTAGGCTTTCTGAAATGTATATGTTCAAATTGATTTAAAAAGTAAAATTATTTGTAAATAATAAGAATATCATTAGGAAATAAGAGGCTTACAATAATAGAGACAAGCACCACTTGAGTGTCTCATAGGTACCTCAAACCCAACCTATTTGAAATGGAACACATCATTTTCT